AAATCTCTCTCTTGGTTTTGTATAAGAGGTTCAGAAGGAAGGGGCAGGACTGGGGGGCTGACATATGTTGGAATGCCAAGCTAAGTTGCAGAGGTCTCTCTCCCAGCCCCCCAGCTAGAAAGAGTGTCCCCCAAAGTGGCAAAAGATTGTCTTATTTGAACTTAGGTGCAGAGTATATGGCTGACTGGAAAGTTTCCCCTTGCTAAACTTTTTTGATCAATGTAATGCTTTTAATTATTACAATTCCTTAAGGTGATTTATAATGACATTTACGTTTAGTCGGCTGGCCTGAGCATGGCCTCATCCTTCCTCTCCCAAAGTCTGAGAATCTCACCAATAAGACCAAACCTTTGTTTACAATAAAAACAACTTCCTGCAGACCTGGTTGCATAGAATTCTGTCTTATCAGTTGTTATCCCAACTGTACACCAGGAACCATCCTACAATCTCCTTTACTTAAAATGAAAAGGTTGCCTAACAGCCCTTTGACATGCAACTTCAGAAAACAGTATATATAGCTACTCTGAAGACAAGGAATACGGCTCTCCTTTGAGAAGCCCCACCCCCCATATGCCTTATTCTTTCCCTGAGCATCTCTGTTTCTGTTAACTCCTGCTTTTAAATGTTAAAAACATCTACCAAACTCTGACTCCACTCCATACTGGCTCATCTTGAAATTCCTTTCCAAGGCAAAGTCGAGGTTTGGCTCTGACTGGAGAGCTCTGAAAAGAACTCCCCAGGCTGCTGTGGGAGGCATTGCAGAACAGTGACTCTGCTGATGTTTTTTGTGGGCTTGTCTGGGATCCACTGGAAGTGTTGCTACTGTTCCCTCAATGGCTGTTCAGCAGCTCTGCTCTGCCCTTGGCTTGTATGTCTTTGTTTTTGGGCCAAGGACTCAGGTAGTATTGAATGAGTGCCCCAGCACCAGAGATACACATCCCTTTAGAGTCCTCCACACTCCATTCCTGGGCCAGATGGAATAATATCCAGCACGCCCAGGAGGACCTCACTGTAAGGACTCATCCATCAATATCCTACATTATTCTTTTGCCTCCAGGAGATCTGCCTAAGACCCACTGAAGTAAGTGACTTGGGATGATGTTCAGAGGAGCTAACTTTATTAAAACAGTACATTCTGGATCCAAAACACATCACGTCTCTGAAAAGAACCCTTTATTGCTGGCAACAGCATGGAGCTGTGTCATCACCCTCACCACTGCTGATGGGCACCTGTAGAGGAAAACTGCAGGCACAGAATTGAGCCTGCCCCCAGACAGAGGCTGTGTGTGCTGCAAAAGGCAGAGCTACAGGGGTAGCACTACCCAAGCCCCTTTGAGCCCAGATGAGTCCATCATGAGTCTCAGATGCTGGACATGGAAGTGTAGGATTTGCTGTTTGCCCTGCTGGGTTTCAGTCCTGCTTTGAGACCACCTTTCCTTGCCGTGCCTCTACCCCCCCTTTGGTAATGAGAATGTCTACTCTGTGCCATTGCATATTAGAAGTATATAAATTGTTTTTTGACTTTATAGGGGCTCACAGTTAATCAATTTGAGACAGAGGTTGTAGCTTAGTTGGTGAAATGCTCGTGTAGGATGCATGAAGCCCTGGGTTCAGTTCCCAGCACCAAATAAACTGGGTTTGGTGGTGTATACCTGTGATCCCAGCACCTGGAATATGGACTCAGGAGGATCAGAATAATTCTTGAATATATAGAAAGTTCCAGGGAAAAAAAGAGAGATTGCCGTGGACTTTTGAAGAGTGAGAGTTAGGACTCTTAAAGACTATGTGGACTTTTTTGGTACTGTAAACCCAGTACAGAGCTGGTGGCTGGGAAGGTCATAGACCTTAATAGAGAAACTACTGTTGTTTGCTGAATGGACAAAATGTACTCATAGATTTGTCTTTTAAATACCTCTATTTATGCCCATAGATTTGTGCTGTGTCAGCCTGGGTCAGGGAAGCTTCTTTTTTTATTAATCAGTGGTAAATGCAGAGACTCATAACTGGTCAAAGTGCTGAGAATAAGGGCCTTGAATGCTCACCCATAAATAGGACATCGATATCACTGCCTCCAAGGCTCAGGGAGTGCGGGATGGGGAGTGGTATGGAAACCTGAGTTCCAGACAGAGCATGGCCATTGCACTCTTGAACTCACAGCAGCTGTGATTACCTGCATAAGATCTGGATAAGATTGGGTCTGTCAACAGTCTGTCATGGAAGGGAGGAGGTGCTCTGGGGCCCTGCCCCTCCCTAAGGGGTATATGCAGTTAATAGTTGATGGGGGAGGGAGGCACATTTTTTTAGTGGTGTAGTCATTAGTAAAGTACCTGTGCTCCTGTAAACAAACCCGCACCCAAGCTTCTATAACCAACCCTAATGAAACTTGTTGGAACACACACACACACACACACACACACACACACACCAAGAAAGTAGAAGAGGGGCTAGTTGAGAACAGGTAGATGATTAGTTGGAGGGGGAAGGGAACAAGAGAGGGTAATGGGGTCAGGGTTAAATATGATCATAATATTTTATATATATGCATGAAAATGTCATAATGAAACACATAATTATATATAATTAATATGTGAGAATAAGAAACATAAGAAAACTCAAACAAAATAAAACAGACCATGGAGACTTTTGAATTAGAAATGAATGCATTTTGCATTATGAAATGGCCAGCAGCCTACAGGTGCCAGAAGCAGAATGTTGTGGTTTGAATGTGAAATGTGTCCCATGGATTTGTCAGTGGCAGTGCAGGTGGGGACGTTGCTCCATTACTCAGGCACATATCAGCATGAGAGTTCCCTTCTTCCTTAGGGACCTTTGCTCAGGTAAAGGCCAATCATTGTTTTATCATAGAAAAGAATTTCAAGATGAGCCAGTATGATGCAGAGCTGGAGTTTATTGAAAGATATTTTTAACAGATTTCAGAACATCAGTTCATAGAAAGAGACCTACCGAAGAAGGAATAAAGAACCCAAGAACACGAGCACGGGCTTTGCAAAGAGGAGTCTACTAGTGGTCTTTGCAATAGTAATATTCAGGATTTGAATGATTTATGGAGTTATGATCTTAAAATGATTGCTGAAGAATTTAAATCCTATCTCAGCCTGATTCCTGAGGTGCATCTGACAGGATTACAATTGATATGGTAAAACTAGATTTCGGGGATGCAAGACATTATGATGCCTTTACTATAAACAAAGGTGATAGTCTTGTTTCTGACTGAAATTCCTAGAAAGTATCAGGAGAGGAGTGAGGTCCTATCTAAGGTCTTTGTAAGCCAGGCTTAATGCTATTTCAACATTCTAATAGTGTAAAAGAAACATTGTCACTAGAAAACTTTAACATGCAAGCCTTATCATCATCATTATCATCATCATCATCATCATCATCATCATCATCATCTGTACATCTGAGTGTGGCTAGCCATGTAGTGAAGGCTATTGCCCTCACATGAGTAGGAGATACATGGAAGAGGAGGCCCCTCAGTAAACATGGAGTAGAAGGAAGCCAAGGAAGGGAGAATGAAACACACGCTAACAGTGTGACAATGACATGATTATCTCTTTGAATATGGGCTTAAAATAATAACTAGATTCTATAACTCCTAATTAGTTCTTATAGTCTAGAATCTCCCCCACCTTATAATTCAAGAGTGATAATAGAGGCATATCAATCATTTTATTTCTGTAAACAAAACTCTTTGGAAATTACAAACTGTCTTAAAATAGCCAACAGATGATCAAGCAAGGAATGAGCCCCAAAACATTTCTATTGAAAGAAAGCACTTTGTCTCGAACACTGCAAAGGATGGATATGAGAATTTAAAATGCTTGAAAAATACTAAAAGAAAACTAAGTTAAAATGAGTACAGTTTGATCATAAAGTGTTTATGCAAATATAATGAAATTGCTAAACAATAAATTATTCAGTACTAGATGGTAGGTTTACCTATTCAAGCTTTGCTCTAACATAAACTGAATAATATGAAATAATCAGAAGGCAGACTGTGCTTCACAGGTACAACAGCTCTTAAAAACACCCAAAATCCCCCAAAGGCTGAAATTATTAAATAGGCATAGGAAAATGTGTTAAGTACTTCGAAGTTTACTTGGATTTTAAATCTCTTTCCAAAAGAAAGTGATTATAATACTTTTGAAAGTGATGACAATACTTTTAATAGTCTACTAAAGTTACAAAAATTGTACTTTGACTGTCAACCACATCTTGGTATGAATTCAGAAAAAAAATGTAACTGAAAGCATTCACTTAATATAGAAGTGTGATCTTTAAACATATATAATTAAGATTTTGTCAGAACATTACATTGAGTGAAAATCATGATACTAAAAATCTTTACATATAAATGTGGAACAGATGTCTAGTTGAAACTGTATAAACGATCCTCAAAGAATACTTTCTGTAACAATTTCAGTGCAAATACAGTATCAGGCAATATGCTTAGAGGTAAATAATTTATAACAGATATTTCAGGAGCTCAGTGTCTAAACAAGCTGAAGATGGCACTTTGATTCATATTAAATGCGAAACTATTTATGACATAATAATTTTGCCCCTGGGGACTTCAGCAAGCCAGATGTATAAATACTTTGGTTTATTTTCAAACCATGTAAGTAGAACATTATGTTGTGTTCCTTCTCTTTTTTTAAGAGCAAGTTAAGATTCAGCCCGGTCTGTGGATTGACATTTTAGCTCTTCTTATGATTTCCTTCTCTCTAGGTCTGTGGGATGAAGCCTGTGAATCAGAGGAGAGCATGGGCAGAGGAACACAGAATTCTGCCCAAAGGCAGGACTAAAATGGTGTACTGCTGTGAAAATGAAAGATGAGAGATGAAGTCTCCATTTAAAATTATAGTTTCCATGGTTTTATATAACAAATGAACATTCACTGCAGTTCTTAAAGATAGACTGTCCTTTGTTAGACAAGCCCCCAAGTGTCTTTGGAGGCATCAGGTGTCTAAGAGTAGGTAGGAGAAAAAAAAGATAAAACATATATAATTCAGAACTCCAGGGTAAATATTTTTCTAATTTTATTTGTCATATCCCATTTCACTTTAGTGAGCCTATTTAACATTGAGTTAAAAACAAGAAAAAAATTCCTCTACCATGCAATAGAAATGTTCCTGTCTCTTAGAATGTGTTCATTCTTCTTAGAAATTTTAAATCAGGTAACATCATATGACAAACACATAGAAATAACGCATCATAAATAGCACATTGCTAAAATTTGAAGCTAGAAAAATATATCCCACTATTATTTAGAAATTGTCTTTAAGTCAGAACATTGATAAGTCAAGGAGTTCTTGACAAATAAAAGAAAGAATTAAACATTTATGCAAGTAAAAACATTTGTTAGGAATGGGCTTGTCTAGTACTGTTTCATTCTTGCCAATAGAACATCATCAGCTCTGTTAAAGGGTCCTGGCTGATCTCTGCCAAATGGCACCAGAGGGTTCTTAAGAGAAAAGCACTAAGCTCAATTGTAGCTGGTAACATAGTGTTATTTTATTGAATGATTCTTTTTCAATGTTCCCCACTTAAGACAGTTTTCATGTTTTTTTTTAATCCCCTTAAAATTGCCCTAAAGCTTAACCATATTGCAAGCCTTTCCCCCACAGCTCAGCTTAAGTAAATCGTATTAACTTTGGAGTTGTGTAATAAAGAGCTGATGAGAGAAAATAAGACTCACTGTGAACTGAGCAAGAGTGCACCCCAGGTGCTTACTGAGGGGGTGACTTAACACTGGTGAGGGCAGCCGTGTCTGGTGTCACTTGCTCAGTCTAAGAAGTGAACCTGGCTATTTTCCTTTGTGTTAACTCACAACTATAGTTGTATGATATCCTATTTCCTCCCAGTAAGCAATGTTCTTCAAAGTCACATCCACACAAACTGAAACCAGGAAAGTCCTTGACTCGACAGGAGACTTAACTGAAGCCCCATCTTGAGGTTCAGGCTCAGATGTGGCCAGTTTACCTGAACAAATCTCACCCTATTGCCACCGACTATGGGGTTTTCTTCCTAAGGCACATTTCGTAGTTTGAAATTGATTTTATCAACTGCAGTTAAAGTTGGTCAAGTTAAGTGTGCTCGGGGGTTATGGACTTAACTATGGGGTTAACACTTTTTAACATGATCAACCCTGGTCTGAAACAGTGCTTGGATTTTTATTTGTATTACTTGTAAATCAGACAAGGTATATGTGGAGAAAGTGTGAGCTCTTCCTCAACTAAGTGAGCACAGGTTGCATGCTGAAGTCTTTTTTGATGATTTTCTGTACTGCATGGCAAATCAAGACAGAGCGAGAATTCTTCCAATTGCCATTTAAAGTCAGTGCTTTGGCATGACCACATTTTATTTATTCAACATGCTGGTGATATGCTAGAGGCCACACAGATACCAAGAAGGTCCTGTGGGCCACATAGCCACAAAGAAGACTGTCCAAGCTGACTGTCATTATTTCATTAGTGATAATATTAAGGTAAAAGTTTACAAATGCGGGGCAGAGTCTCCTCCACAGTGGTGTTTCCATTTATTAATCTCATTGTGGTTCATGCCTTGTTCCATCATGAACTGCATTGTTAGATTTTGGGGGGTAGGCGCTGAGTGCAAATCACAGTGACTGTGAACAGTACTCTGGGATCCTGACTACTTGGTATATTGTACTGTACTGTACTTTGTAATTCGACTTCGAGCCATGCTGGGGGAGGCAGAGCCCACCGTCTGGCTGAAGTGATGGTCGGAAGAACTCCTCACATGGCCAATGGTGGCCGTCCCTCCCATGCTGCTCACACCCCCACCTCCACTAAAGCTGCTCAGCCCAATGCCACCACCACCTGCTCCAGTGCCGCCCAGCCCCCCGCCACCAGCACCCACAGTGCTAACCAGGCCACTGCTGCCTCCAACACCACCTATCCCAGCTGTGCCACTAATTCCACTCACACCTGCGCCAGAAACCACCCTCTCTGTCACAATCACATTGTGGGCATTTGATAACTCAGGGTGCACACTCAGACTGCCCATCATGCCAGAAGTTGGTTGGATCACTCTTTCTGTCACAACCACATTTGAAGACTCTCTAGAGTTAGGGATGGTCAGAGAGGTGGGTAGACTAGAGCCTGGTGCAATTACTCTTTCTGTTACTATGACGTTTGATCCTTCTCTCAAGTCCGGCATCTCTAACATTCCATGTAAATCAGCACCAGAGATGGGGCCCACCACCCTCTCCGTGACCACCACATTCGAAGCCTGTAGGTTATCATGAAGGTGGACAGGGGGCTTCAGAGTGCCAGAGGTGGTGTATGACTCTGTCACAGTGACATTACCATAGCTCAGAGGATCAGGAATTGGCATAGGATGCTGTATGCCAGGACCCGAGGGGTAGGTGTTCTCAGAAATTACTGTGGTAGTGCCAAAATGTGGGGATATGGGTGGGAGTCCACTAGCAAGGGGCTCTGTTTGCTGGGGGTACATTGGTTCAGTGCACTGAGGAGGCCAAGAAGGATCAGGGTCTGGATAGGATTCGATTTCTTTTCCGAGGCTGATATCTGCCAACTTCTTAAACTTGGGGCCCAGGGCATCCAGGAAGCTTTCATCCAAGTCTTCTCCAATGAAGCTGCAACAGCCCACTGAGCCAGCAGGAGAACCCGCGCCTTCGATATCATAGATGAGCAAGCAGTCGTTGGATGGGCGTCCTTCGTCTTCATCTGCGTAAGCGTAGGCTTTCTGAATTTGAAGAGGAGAAAGTGAAATAGTGAGCACGTATTACGCAGTAATAGAACAGTTTGTACTATTAGAAGAATGTATCAACATTCTAGTATCTACTAGAAATGCTTTAAAAATCATTTCATAAGTGCTTGAAAGGATTCAGCTCAAAGTTAATTATTCCAATAGTATATTTTTTATTTAAAAAAATTTCCTTAGGTGGATTTGTATAAAATAGTGTATGTGGATATAAAATCATATACAAGAAGCTTCCACTGTTTTAAAGCCTGGACTATTTTATACCTAAATTAGAAGGAGGTAGATAAAAATGCTCTACATAAAAAAGTTAGAAGAAACACAATTTTCTTTGGTCTTGAAAACTTATGTATAGTTGACTGACTCACTCAGATTGTATTTTCTTTGACTGATTAATGTGACCTTTTTGGCAAAACAGGACAACTTGACTCTGGATTCAAGTTTTTGGCAACATCATATAGAGAATTCATTGGTGAGGCATTAAAAATGGTATACATATAAACTAACAAACTCTGTAAACACAGCACCACGACAGGACAGAAGAATCATGAATCCTGTTTTGGATGAGTTAGTTGTCAAAGACGGGAGGCAGTGACATTTGACCTGAAGCCTGAACGATGGGAGGTAAAGACAGAGAGGGAGAGAGGGAGAGAGAGAGAGAGAGAGAGAGAGAGAGAGAGAGAGAGAGAGAGAATAGGAAAATCAACATTGCCAAGGGGACTGGAGTAGGCCAAGAGGCCAATTTGTGAATGACTTTATCACACCGAGGAACATAGACTTCATATTTGAGATAAAATAGAGCTTAGAGCCCTTGGTCATGTTAACTTTGAGAGTAAAGTGCTCAGACTGAGACTTTAGAAATAAAGGGCCTAAAGATCAGAGGTTGGGAATTTGAGATTCCTGTCAAGGCCCTAGTGGGCATTAGTGAAAGTCTGGAATGTGGTGTGTGAAGAGAAAGGCATATGACTAGAAACCTTACCTGACAGAAGTAACTTTCCATGAAATTCATATTGAGACCCCCATCTCTGCAGTCTCTCATTGAATTTCTTCTTAGCGTTCCAGAATATTCTTGGCATATCTCAGGTGCAGCTGATGTTTTAACTCCATCCATTAGTTCAAATCCTGTTGCTCTTTCTCCCCCTCCCAGATCTTGCATTTCTCTGCCACAATACTCATTTGTATAAACTCCTAAAAGCATCAAACACATTAAATGCAATTTTGTAGTGTATTATAAGCTTAAACCTAACTTACTATAATGTACAGTTCTGCCATTTAAGGATGCGTTTTTGAGTGAAGAGATAAAGATAACACACAAAGGAGATAACTATGATACTGAAGGCAAAAAGATATTATTAATCAGCTTGCTAATTTATTTATTGGCAGATTTTCTACATGATGTGCTGGGAATGGAGGTGCAAAGAAGTTGCTAAAACCTATGGCCAGAGTAGTTTGATTTCAAATGGAGGCAAATTGCTTGAATTCTGAAGGTTAAATACCAATACAAGTATTCTCCCAATAGATTACTGAAATTGCACGGCAGGCGGTAGAAGGAAACAATGGGCTTCAGAGGAGGAGAAAGGTGTTCAAGGAGAAGCACTTTGTGTGAGAGGTGGGGAGAAGCATGCTATGATGCTTGAGCTAGTGAGATAAGAGGAAGGGCTCCCAAAAGGGGATGTTCACAGCGAGATGGATGTCCCCTGGCTTAGCATTCTAATCTGAGTTTGAGGAAACACAGTTTTCACATTTTCTATTCCCTGATGTCTTTCATGCTGTGGTAAGCTTTGTGCAAAGGTCCATAGACTTAATGAAAGAATGAATAAGTAAATATTGGTGGATTTGGGGAGTTGGTAGATCTGGGAACTAACTGGGGTCTAATGTAAGGGAGAGAGAGGAGTCAATGGTTTCTGCTTTCAAGGTGGGGAAATGGTGCCACTAGTGATGACATTAGGAGAGATAGGGCTAGCCAGCTGTTGTGACCAGGTAAAGAAAGTTGTGTAAGATACAAACTTTTCTATGTCTCTTGCATTTTAGAGTGTTTGAAGTAGAAAAGTAACCATTGCTGAAAAGTGTGGGAGAAAACCTAACAAAATCAGTAACATTTACCTTTAAAAAGGTAAGATACTGCAAGAAGTTATTTTTAAACTTTTTTTTTGTCTTTTTGAGACAAGGTCTCTCTCTCTGCAGCCCCAACTGGCTTGGAACTCACTATGGAGACTAGGCTAGCCTTGATCTCATAGAGATCTCCTGGGTGCTAGGACTAGAGGCATGTGCCTCCATATCTCACTTGTATTTTTAAACATATTTATTTATATTTATTTTATGTATGAGTGCTCTGCCTACATGTAAGTGCACCTGGGTCATGCAAGGCCCACTGAAACCAGAAGAGGACATCCAGATCCCCTGGAACTAGGGTTACACGTTAGCCACCATGTGGGTGCTGTGAACTGAACCCCAGTCCTGTGCAAGAGTCATCAGTGCTCTTAATCACTGAGCCATCTCTCTAGCCCAAGAGGTTGTTCTGACTGTTCTTTAGAACAGTAGCCATCACTTGCAGTGAGATTCTAATTGCTCCCCGGTTTCTGCTTGTGAATTAGTCTCAACTCTTGGTTCAAGACAAGTTGAATACACAGACTCATGCCTGTGCAAGGAGAAACCCTGATGTGTGTACACAGCCTTAATGGAGAACTTTGGAAGGTTTTGATAATATTTCGTCTACTTGTTTTCGATTTAATAAATTAAATGGATGTTTTATAGGTTAACATTTATATTGATGACAAAAATGGTCATATTTTTTCTTTGTCAAAATAAGTATCTAAAGTCAAAGCACTTTTGAATCATTAAACAAATTTTGAGAGGAGTTTTTAGCCTCAATAAGAACAGATCTACTCACACAGGCACACACACACGTATCTGACAATATAGATATCTGACAGAGCTCTACCTGCCTCTGCCTCCCAAGTGCTGGGATTAAAGACCAGGGCCTCCATGCCCACCACCACATCAGTAACAAAACTGACTCATGGTTTTACCTCAGCACTTCTATTTACAGAAGCTGTACTTATGTCATGTTTAATGTGCTTTCTGATGATCAAGGACCTTTTTAAAAATACAGCACATAGATTAATAATTATGAGGTTTTTCTTTACCATTTAATTTACAAATAAGTCATTTGAGAAGGATTATACACTTTTAAAGGCAAATAAGATCATACCCAAACAAGACACACAATGAGAACAGAGTTTCTTATTAGTCATCTGTGCAGTTCAAAACCCTTTTCTTACCGGAGTTGTCGATGCCTTCTATTATATTTACATTACCAGGTGGCATTTGTGGCACACAGATAGTGGCTATACCCTGAAAGACAAGAAACAATATTTTCCCACTTGTAATGAGTCTTTTCTTTCTCTAGTGATATATTTCATTTATTCTTAAATTATCACAGAATTCCTAAAAGAATGCTATTTAGGAAATGTTTGAAATCCATCTAAATTTGAACCTCATTTTGAAAGCCTTCCCTGGTGACTTCCACTGACTTTGGATGGACATTTGATTCCTCCTCCCTCCCGCATGAAATGTCCCCAACCAAAGCCTAGTGCACGCCAGTGACTGCTGCCATCTTCGTGGTGTGGAGACGGTTTCCGTGACTTCCAAAATCCCCAGGTCAACACTTACATCGTGGGGTTCCGGCTGTGGGCCTTCTACTGCCCATGTATGAATTGCTCCATCAGAACATTCTGGAACAGGCTCGAAGCGGGCTCCACCACCAGGGGCTCCTCCACAATCACAGCACAGCAACAAGAATGGGACCACTGCGAGGGGAGAAGGAAGGGCGAGGTCAGCAGTGGGCCGCCCTGAGAGCAATCCGCCTCAGTCCGGTCTGCTGCGAGCCTAGTATTTTTGAATTTAAAATTACTATGAAAACATCAGGACAACAAAGTAATAATCATCAGACTCCAAAATAGACATGAGCTTCAAAACACTAGACTGCAATGAATTTTAATCTACTTTATAATACTGCGTTCACGAATAGAATTATTTGGATTAATTGAAAGGATGATCGATTCCCTGTCATCGCGCAGAGAAACTGCAGGGGCAAAGGAGACCCGAGGTCCAGTATGGTGGGTCCTCCCTGGTTTCTCCTTCAAGTTCTTATATTTTATATTTTCTTGTTTTCGCACACCTACCTTTTTTATTTCAAGGGTAAAATCTCATTCAATTACTAACTGTTCTCATCAAAGCCATTGCTTTCCTCTACTGAGATGTATTTTCTTTAAATTATCCTTATACAGATAGAGAATATCACACCTTATCCAGCTCTTTTTCCTACTAACCCATTGGAGCCTTCTCATTCATTTATTTATTATTATCAAATAATCTTTTTTTTTTTTT